CTCTCACCAGCATGGGTGTGCTGAACAGCAGGCCTCTCTCACCAGCACGGGTGTGCTGAACAGCAGGCCTCTCTCACCAGCACGGGTGTGCTGAACAGCAGGCCTCTCTCACCAGCACGGGTGTGCTGAACAGCAGGCCTCTCTCACCAGCACGGGTGTGCTGAACAGCAGGCCTCTCTCACCAGCACGGGTGTGCTGAACAGCAGGCCTCTCTCACCAGCACGGGTGTGCTGAACAGCAGGCTCCTCTCACCAGCACGGGTGTGATGAACAGCAGGCTCCTCTCACCAACACGGGTGTGATGAACAGCAGGCTCCTCTCACCAGCACGGGTGTGCTGAACAGCAGGCCTCTCTCACCAGCACGGGTGTGCTGAACAGCAGGCCTCTCTCACCAACACGGGTGTGTTGAACAGCAGGCCCCTCTCACCAGCGCGGGTGTGTTGAACAGCAGGCCTCTCTCACCAGCACGGGTTTGCTGAACAGCAGGCCTCTCTCACCAACACGGGTGTGTTGAACAGCAGGCCCCTCTCACCAGCATGGGTGTGCTGAACAGCAGGCCTCTCTCGCCAGCACGGGTGTGTTGAACAGCAAGCCTCTCTCACCAGCATGGGTGTGCTGAACAGCAGGCCTCTCTCACCAGCACGGGTGTGCTGAACAGCAAGCCTCTCTCACCAGCACAGGTGTGCTGAACAGTAGGCCCCTCTCACCAGCACAGGTGATCAAGCAAAACAAGACAAAACCGGACAAAACAGGGCGCACCAACCGGCCGAGGCTGCCATCATCGGTACCAGGTGGTGACCCCACGGCTTACCAGAGACGACCCCACGGCTTGCCAGAGACGACCCCACGGGTTACCAGAGACGACTTCACGGCTTACCAGAGACGACCCCACGGCTTAGCAGATACGTTAAGCGTCCTTGCTGGAAGCGTTAGCGAGTCGGCCTCAGTTGGTGGGTCGAGTGGCGGATTATTTATTTATTGACATCCGTGGTGGAGGCAGCGGCCACGATTCGTGCAGCTTGCTGCCGTGATGCCGCCGTCTCCTTCCCGTCGATTCCGGAGGGTCAGGGGGTTGGCAGCGGAAGAAGAGGCATTTCAAGAGTCGCAACGCACGCGGATGCGTACACTGCGTGTGTGACGTCACGAAGCAGCCCGTAAAGAGGCGCACGCGGCTCTGGAGCTGCAGGTTTCCGACCCCTTGCAGCGGTGGGGGTGGGGGGGGTACGAGAGATTGATTGACGTTCGAGGTCGCACTTTACCCCCTCGGGGCCTTGAGAAGATCGGTGGGAGCGGGCGGCTGGGGGGGGCATTTTTAGGACGTTGAGAAACATAACTGAGTGGACACGAGCGTTTACTGTTGGATGACGCTGGCGATTGAACAAACCCTTGGAAGGTCAAACACATTTTGTGTACGTGCGTCGTCGTGTAAAAAATGAAGCTGTAAAAGATTATTGTGGAACTGAATAGATCCGCTTTTTCACATCCTAGTTATTGAACCGATCGTAACGCTTCCTCGTGCGTTATTTATTTAAACGATGGGCAAGGGGGCCCTCGCACGTGCCGACTTGCCCCCTTCAACAAAAGTCGCAACCGAGAGTCCTGCGGTTAAGGGGGTCGGGGGGGCAACAGCGGCACACACACACACGTACACACACACACACGCACGCACACACACGCACGCACACACGCACACACGCACGCACGCACACGTACACACACGCGCACACACGCACACACGCACACACACACACGCGCTCGCACACACGCGCTCACGCATGCACGCACACGCATGCACGCACACGCACACACACGCACACGCGCTCACACACGCGCTCACGCACACACGTCGCCTGCCTGTCGGGGCTCGCCAGCCGCGGCACAGAGACGAGTCACGCCGGTGGTAGGATGGGGAGAGGTGGGGAGAGGGGGCTAGGTTAGGGGGGTGGGAGGTGGGGGGAGCTGGGGAGAGGTAGGGCGGAGGTGGATGGGGGAGGGTGGACAGGAGACGGTACTGGTTTCTCTGCATCCGTGTGCTTGTAGCAACCCGATCTCATTTGCCACGCTGTGCCCTACACGTGTGCCATCACGCTTCATTTATTGACATTTTTACCATCGTCTGACCTTACTTCACCCCACGATGGTCGGTGCGGGTTGGGGAAGGCGGGGGAAACCCAGGACCGCTTCGGGTATCACTTTGCTACTGACGTTAGCCATGAGCAGGTTATCACATTCAGGTCGTGCTGTTCGGAGTGCAGTGCGCTGGTTGCTTTGCCACCGCTGTACCCAGCACGACACTGTCACTGTGTAAACAGAGACCTCCCTGTAGCCCAGCGGTGTTGTGTACCCAGCATACACACACAGAGATGCCCTCTGTAGCCCTTAATGGTGTTGGGGCAATGCTGTTACCGAGCATCTATTAAGGGCGCCATGGTGAGGGGGAGGGGGTGGGGTGTGGCCGGCCTTTGTCTCTCCGGTGGTGACGTTTCACCACTGCTGGCAGCTGTGGCCGGGCGTCAGGCACGTGCTTGTGTGTGAGTGCGCGATTAACGCCGCGTGTTAACCCGTGTGTGGTTAACGCCGCTTGTTAGCCCACAGCGAAACGCGTGGGCTAACGACTCGGCTTAAGGGCGTGGGTTTATAGGCCTGCACACAAGGGCGGGGGGTGTGATTGGATCGCATGACCCCCCCTCTTCCAGCCACTAGAGGGCGCAACATTAACCACACTGTTGACAACAAATGGAATCCACGGATTGTACGTTGAGCTTCTTTCGCACCGTACGTAGCCAACCGCGCTCATCGGAGGTGCGGGGGGAAAGGACAGCAAACTAAACGGTGTCGTTGAGGGGGGGGGGGGGGGGTGAGCCGCTTGACCCCCCCCGGTGCGCGCCGGGTCCCCGTGCTGGCTCGCGCGTGTGGGAGCCGGAACAGATTAGCGACGATTAGCGGCGGAACCCGGCGGTGCTCCCCGGGTTTGATTCCCGGCCCACGGCCAACGTCGGTGGCGAGCTGCATCTGAAACGGCGGGGGCCCCTCGTCACCAACCCGGCCTGGGGAAGTTCGGTCGAACAAACAACGCCCCACGACCAAACACGACGGAGGCGTTCATCCAGCGGTCTATTGACAAATGGTTCATCGTCATTAATTACTACTCTATATGATATTCATTTACACAGACTCACGCGGGTGTTAAGCGTGCCCTTAAACTTGGAATCCACTTTGCCTGACAAGTGCCTCATTCAGTTCTCAGACTGTTACCGATTTGGGAACCCATCCCATGGCCTCAGGGAGTGGGGGGGGGGGGCGATCGGTGGCAGATAACCGTGGTAATCGTTTGGCGATGGAGCGAATGAGCCGTGCGACTCTCTTGCTCTACAGGATTTTGGCAGCCCCCCACCCCGCCACCCCTGCCCACGGTATCTCTGGTGGGCGTGTGTGCCCGTCGTCACCAAGCTGCCAAGGGGAGAAATTAAAACTGCCAAGCGTGGGAATCGGTCGCGCGCCACTCCCGTCGCACGCGGCCGGATCGGGTCCCGAAATGACCCACGGGGCACATGGGCAGGAGCGCTCCGTGTGGCCCGCGCGGCTACACGTCGTCACACCGCCTTGTCGCCGTCCCACCACGTCGCCGCATCACACCCCGTCGCCGTCACACCCCGTCGCCGTCCCACCACGTCACCGCATCACACCCCATCGCCGTCCCACCCCGTCACCGTCCCGCCACGTCACCGTCCCACCACGTCACCGCATCACACCCCGTCGTCGTCACACCCCATCGCCATCCCACCCCGTCGCTGCATCCCACCACGTCACCGTCCCACCACGTCGCCGTCCCACCACGTCGCCGTCCCACCCCGTCACCGTCCCGCCACGTCACCGTCCCACCACGTCACCGCATCACACCCCGTCACCGTCCCGCCACGTCACCGTCCCGCCACGTCACCGTCCCACCATGTCGCCGTCCCACCACGTCACCGTCCCACCCCGTCACCGTCCCACCACGTCGCCGTCCCACCCCGTCACCGTCCCACCACATCGCCGTGAGCGTTGTGAAGCACCGCGTGCAGCGGGAAGTGAGCTGGACGTCGCGCCGGCCAGGAGGATCGGAACGCCGAGCCGGTTCCGCACAAATCCTGGGGTCCAAATCCGGGTTTCAGCGACCCTGTGCTGAACTGCAATAAACGATGGCGGTTTTGTTTGTGGCTCACGTGACAGTCTCCGGCTGTGTGTACAGCGCTAAACCCCCGTACCGTCCACGTGACCTAACACGGCCGTTAGGAGTCCCTCCCGATACCACGGTGATCTCTCACGGGGGTTTAACTCCTCGCAATGCTCCTGCTGTGGGGCGTTTATATTAACTCCCTCACCTGGTACGCAGGAGGTCGCGGCTTCGATCCCGACCCCGACGCTTGCTGTATATTTGGAGTTGTGTCTCTCTCCCCATGGTCGCGTTTATTTTTCTCTGGGTCCTCCGGTTTTCCCCTCCATATTTAGAATCAACATCACGAGTTTAGAGTATTTGGCTGCCACATGATAAGCCACTTTGTCCAGCTCGCATTTGTGGCCAGGTGGTCAGTCCCGGTTCTCAATTGAGCCGAGTCTCTAATGGCAGCAAAAGGATTACACTCCTGTCTCATTCATACTGGATCACCTCTCCAACAGTTATCACACCCTCCCTCTCCCCCTTTACAGACAGACGCACAGACAGATGGACGGACGGACAATGGGAATCTTTTCACGCTCATAACATTTCTCCACGCATGTTGAGTACTCGATCTACCAGACTGTGTTCACTCGCCACACAACACTATCACACACTCATTCACCCACCCACTAACTGCACTGCAGGTCACACAACACACCCACTCACCGCACCGCAGGCCACCACACTTCTCTCCCTGCTTCCTCCCTCCCACTGCTCCGCTCTGGAATTCCCTCCTCCCATCACCACCGTCCGCGCGACGCGCGAGTGACTCCTCCTCCGTCCCGTGTGCCCCACGCAGGGCTCCTGGAGAAGGAGGTGGTGAAGGCGAAGCTGGCAGGGGATTCGCGCGAAGTCAACCCGCTGGCGCCTTCGCCGCGTGACGCGCTGCACATACAGGTACGGTGTACACGGTGCAGGTGTACACGGTGCAACTGCACATGCACGCGGTGCAATCGCACGCGAGAAGTGCGATCACACGCGCGTGCGGTGTGATCGCAGGGACGTGCGCAGTGCGATCACACGCACGCGGTGCGATCACGCGCACGGTGGGATCACACGCACGTGGTGCGATCACACGCACGTGGTGCGATCACGCGCACGTGGTGCGATCACGCGCACGTGGTGCGATCACACGCACACGTGTGCAGTGTGATCACCCGAGCGCACGACCCGGCGCTCGCTGGGCTCGCCGGCTACTTCGCCAGCGGCACTGGGGCCGGTGATAATTTTGATATCTGAATCGCCGACGGGAATTTCATCGTCGACAAGGCCTGCTGATGGCGACGACCGCTGCCCACCGGGAGTTTCTGCCGAGACGGTCGTCGACGAGTCCACGACGAACTCGTGACGTCGTCAGGGACCGCGGTGCACCGAGTAACACCGGCAATGGTACTACGTATGAACACCCAGAGATCGACCGAGTTCACCGATTGGCTGAACTGATGATATTGGGCGGAGGGGGGCGTGGGATTGCACACCCCTCACACCAACATATCCTAGCCTAGAGTGTCTGACAGCTTGAGTGAACCAGACGAAGAGAACGGCTCCATCTACAGCGCAGTAGTCGCCGGAGCCTGGACTGGAACTCGGGGTAAAGTAAACCTCGCGGAACCGCCGTGCCCATCGCCGCTCCACACCCCCTTACCTGTAACCCCGCGCAGACCCAGACGGAGCAGCTGATGCGCGAGCTGCTGGAGGTGAGCCGCAACCGCGAGACGCTGCAGAAGAACCTGACGGAGCTGCTGGAGTACGCAGCGCTGCTGCGCGCCGTCCAGAGGCTCTGCCGGGACGACGGCGTGAGTTCCCCCTCCGCGGATTCGGCGGCAGTGGCGGCCGCGTTTTTAAGTCCGGCCTTGGGTAGCTGTGACCCCCAGCTGGACTTTCTGCTTGGGACCACTTTAACCGTTTCCCGTTGTTGGGGGATGTCTACAAGTTTCAGGGTGTGGGGGGGTCCCCGTTTTCCGCTGAATCTCACTGCAGAGAAGTGTAGCGAGACGTCCGCCGCACTCTCCTATCGCTGGCGCTGAACTCTGTCACCTGCCCTCCCGCATGGCCTTGTGGGAGCGTCGGGACCAATACAGTTTTTTGTGTTTTTTCTTCCGGTCCCATTCCGTCATCGGAACAGAATCAGAAAGAAAAACTGATGAATGTACACGTCCGTCGTCGGAACGGGAAAGGGTTAATAAACGCTCCCCTGTGCCGTCGGGCCACGCGTCATGACGTCATAACGTCTGCACTCGTCCCAACTGATGTCTCGATTAAATAATGTAAAGTTAAAAACAATGTGAATGTTTCCTCTGGGGGGAAAATCTTCGGGTCAAATTTGTAAATGGAACGGAGTTTGGTTTTTGCGGAAAGTTCCACCGCTGGAAACCTTCCGCAAACAGAAAATGTCGCAACTCTTGTTCTCGTGTGCATCGTGGAACGGAGAACGCACTCACATCATGTGTGCCAACCCTCCTGACTCTCTACTCCCCTCCACCCACTCTCCCACCTCTCCCCTCCCAACTCACTCTACTCCCCTCCACCCACTCTCCCACCTTTCTCCTCCCATCTTACTCTACTCCCCTCCACGCACTCTCCGCTCCAATATCGTGGATTTTAAAGCATTCCAACGAAGCTTTGGATTTTAAATAATCGTATTTTGACTCGAAGGACAATTACAGACTTCTTTTGCGGATGTTCAGATATTCTGATGGTTATTGCTTAATTATCGAAGCGGCAGCGTCGCCTGGCATCGACACTTTTGGCGGAAAAACCGTGGACTTGACGTCACTTTTTTTTTCAAATCTAGAGCATTTATTATTTTTTTCCGGATGATTCCAAATCTCAAATCTGGGCCAAATGTGATATTTTCAGATTTTTTTCAGATGGCTAAAATCGAGAAATTGTTAAAACGCGCCCCTAACGCGCTCTTCTCCCGTTCGTACGCCTGTGGTGGTCGTTTTCTGCGCAGGCTCCTCCTTCGCCCGTCCTCTTCAACGGTCGCGCCGCGGATGCCGCGGGGAGTCAGCCCAACGAGATGAGGATGAGGTGAGGGCCCTGACCCCCGCGGCCCCCGCCGTGCTCTCGGCAACCGGTCTACGCCTCCCGGCGCGGGGGAACGCGCCGCCGCGCCGCCGACGGTCCGGGCAACACACGGCTGGTGACGGTGCCCAATAGCAGAACCGTTCCTGGGTCGACTTGGCCTCAAACGAGTACCTGGTGCGGTGTGCGGTAAACATCGGCACCGGGGAGACAAAGGCGGCCCGGCGTGGTGTTTGCCACCCACCCCCTCGTGTGCCGTGCCGGCCTTCATAGGTGCCACTCGCCGACAGCGCTTGCTCCTACAGTCTGTTCAGGCTATACGGGGCATCTTTGTCTTTTGTATGTATGTCTATATGTGTGTCTGTGTCTTTGTTCATCTGTATGTATGTGTGTCTTGTGTGTGTGTGTTTGTGTGCGTGTGTCTTGTGTGTGTGTTTGTGTACGTGTGTGTGTGTTTGTGTCTGTGTACGTGTGTGTGTGTGTGTGTGTGTTTGTGTACGTGTCTGTGTGTGTGTTTGTGTACGTGTCTGTGTGTGTGTTTGTGTACGTGTCTGTGTGTGTGTACGTGTCTGTGTGTGTGTGTGCTGCAGTACGGTGTTTGGCACCATCGACCCGCAGAAGGTGCCGGCGTTTGAGCTCATGCTGTTCCGCGTGTGCCGAGGCTTCACCTTCATGCGCTCCATGGAGCTCCCCGAGCCGCTCGCCGTGCCCTTCCTGGTGCGTCCCCTGCCCACACTCGCACCAACCCCCCCGCTCCCCTCCTCCTCACTCCCTCAAGTGGACATGAATAGCGTCGCGCAATGTCTACGTTGTGAATCCATAGACTCAAACAGAGACTCATAGATTTCGATTTAAAGCTTTCGTGACTGCAATGATTCATCTTCTTTGGTTCTTTCGGTAAAGTCACGTAGAATGAGAATAAAATAATACATTGATAAAATAAAATAACACAATAATATTCTCACGACGTTTCGGCCACAACACAAGCGGCCTTCATCAGGTGAAGGGGGCGAGACTGTCTGGTAGGACAGCGCTGGAGTGAGAGAGCCACGTTCAGATCACGGCTTTTAAGCTGTGTGAGAGGAACAAAGAGCCTTAGAGTCGCGACTCTCATTCTACGTGACTTTACCGAAAGAACCAAAGAAGAAGAGACTCATAGACTCACGCAGAGACACGTAGACTGACGCAGAGACCCATAGACTCGCACATAGACCCATTGACTCACACAGAGGAGACCCATAGATTCACACAGAGGCAACCCAGTGAGCATGCGTTCACGATGTGTTCCGCTAATTGTTGCTGTGCACCTTAGTCGCATTTGGGAGATTATTTTATTTTACCTTTGTGAAGGTGGGACTGCACCTACGATGTGAGGTAGCCCACTCCTTGCGAGGCCTTCCCACTCCTACTGATCCTCGTGGTGATTGGTGATTGCGGTGGAGGAGGTAGTGATGAATATCACAGTGCTGGTTAATGGTCATGGTGGTGGTTACTGGTGGTATCGGTGGTTGCGGTGGTGATGGTGACAGTGCTGATAATGGCTATGGTGGTATCAGTGATGTCATCGGTAAATGTGGCGGTACTGGTCAATGCGGTGGTGGCGGTGGCGGTGGCGATGACGCTTGTGGCTTTGTGTGGCCGGTTGCCGTCACGGCCCGCAGGACGAGCCGGTGCGTCTCTCCGTCTTCTCCATCTCCTTCTGGGGGGAGCGCATCGGTGACAAAGTGCGCAAGATCAGCAGCTGGTGAGTGGCCGCCCTCGGCGCCGCGCCCGCACGTCCACGCGAGTTCACCACCCGGCCTCCACCCTCCACGATCGCGACGACGATGATGGCTTCGACGATCTCCACGACGACGATCTCCACGACGACGATCGCTACGATGACGATTGTGACGACCTTGACCTCCTCGCTCCCCTGCCCTCCCCCCGCTGCAGCTTTCACTGCCGCCTGCTCCACTGCCCCGACTCCCAGCGGGAGCAGCAGGAGCTGCTGGGCAGCCTGGACATCCGCATCGCAGACCTGCAGAGCGTGAGCGACTCGCCGCCGCCTACCCCCATCGCCTACCTCCGCCTACCCTCACACCACCACCTACCCACACATCGTCGCCTACCCACACATCGTCGCCTACCCACACACCACCACCTACCCACACATCGTCGCCTACCCACACACCACCACTTACCCACACACCGCCACCTACCCACACACCTCCACCAACCCACACACCACCAACCCACACACCACCACCTACCCACACACCACCACCAACCCACGCACCACAACCTACCCACACACCTCCACCAACCCACACAGCACCACCTACCCACACACCACCACCTACCCACACACCTCCACCAACCCACACAGCACCACCTACCCACACACCACCACCTACCCACACACCTCCACCAACCCACACACCACCACCTACCCACACACCTCCACCAACCCACACAGCACCACCTACCCACACACCACCACCTACCCACACACCTCCACCAACCCACACACCACCACCTACCCACACACCACCACCTACCCACACACCACCACCAACCCACACAGCACCACCTAGCCACACACCTCCACCAACCCACACACCTCCACCAACCCACACACCACCACCTACCCACACACCACCACCTACCCACACACCACCACCAACCCACACAGCACCACCTAGCCACACACCGCCCCCTACCTCACACCCCTGACTTGGCGAGTTTTCTCCGTCTGTTGGCGTTACCCCGATCCCCCCTCTCCCACCGTCGCCGCCGCCCTGCAGGTCCTTTCCCAGACGGAGGCCTACAGGAAGCAGGTGCTGCAGAAGGCGGCCAGCGTCTGCTCGGTGTGGCTCGTCCAGGTGAGCCGCCGCCCCCTGGCTGTCTCCGCCCTCGACGATTCAACATCAACTCCCGCCGCCTTCCCCCAATCTCTCGTTACGAACGGCACGGACGCGTGGGCCCCTTTAGCTGCGTCGTCGTCTTGTCTAGGGGACCCTTGTTGCCAGTTTAACGATGAATACAACAAATGTTTAAATGCTTTACCAGGTGCGTTCAAACACCACATAGAGGCGTATTACAAGGCGTCCAGTCTGCGTTAACCGCACAGACAAATATGCTTTGATAATGAACTCCAACGCTGCTTAACCCGAGCTGTTAATGCTTTGGCGTTTGCATTGCCCTTGTGCTGTCCGCCTTTTTGCGTACTTTGCTCGACAGCACCGTGGAGGCGGAGCCATGGATGAAGGAGGCTGTCTGTGGTGCAGGCCAATCAGTCCCACGGACAATTTGCTCTTGTTGTGCTACCTCAACCAATGTTTGCCTCGGTTTTTAATCGCCATTTAAATAAAGTAGTCAACAAGCACCCCGGCGCCTGTGGCTGCTACGGTCATGAGCCGCACTACTGCCCCCACGCCCCCGTCCCTCTTCCCCGCATTCCCCAGCTCAGCGGAGGTGGGGGGGAGGGGGGGTGCGCCAAACGCCCGAAGTGAAACTCGCGATCGATCGGCACCGCCGCGAGAGAGAGCTCGGGGAACGCAGCCAGCGCTGACGCCGCCGTCGCCGCCGCTTGTAATTTCCGCTCCCCGCCCTACCCCCACAAGGTGCGCAAGGCCAAGGCCGTCTACCACGTGCTCAACCAGTGCCACTACGACGCACGCAACTACCTGGTGGGTGAGGCGTGGTGCCCGACCGAGGACAAGCCGAGGGTGGAGGAGGCGCTGCTGCAAGCCTCCGTACGTCGGCGCACACGCGCGTGTGTGTGTACGTGTGTGTGTGTACGTGTGTGTGTGTGTGTTCGTGTGTGTGTGTATGTGTGTGTACGTGTGTGTATCTGGGGAGTGATAGTGTAGCGGTTAGCGCACTGCACTATGAACCTGGCGACCCGGGTTCGATTCCCGCTCACGGCCAACACCAGTGACGATTATCTGAACCGGTCCTGGGCCTCCCCTAGGTTGACTCAGCCTCAAATGAGTACCTGGTGCGGTGTGTAAACATTGCCACTAGGGAGACAAAGGCGGTCGGGCGTGGTGCTGGCCACCCACCCCCTCGTGTACCGTTCCGGCCTTCATAAGTGCTCGCTAACAGCACTTGCCCCTACAGTCTGTTAAGGCTATATGGGGGATCTTTGTCTTTGCTTGTACGTGTGTGTGTACGTGTGTGTGTGTGTTCGTGTGTGTTCGTGTGTGTGTGTGTGTACGTGTGTGTACGTGTGTGTGTACGTGTCTGTACGTGTGTGTGTACGTGTGTGTGTGTACGTGTGTGTACGTGTGTGTGTGTACGTGTGTGTACGTGTGTACGTGTGTGTGTGTGTGTAGTCCGGCAAAACAACCCCCTACCTCCTCGCGGTGCCGGACGGGCAACTCTGTCGTGGACAGTGCTGTGGGGGGAGTTCCAATTTTGATTGGCTCCTCCCCTCATGGCATATGTGTCCACCACAGGGGCTAAACGGGGGCTCTGGACGGGTGCGAGGGGCTGGTAACCCCTCCACCTTCAATTAATTACCACAAAACCACGAATTAAAGTGAAATATGTAACAACTAAGCTTGTGCCGGAGGCCCCGGGGGGCCAGGCGTCTATGACGTCTCCTGGCCAAACCCCAATTGGCGGAGCCAGGAGATTGAATACCTACCCTCGGGGCTACTCCAGAAACAACGAAAAGCCACTACGGGTGGCCACGTGGAATGTTCGAACGCTCACTGCAGAGGAGAGGCTGCCACTCCTCTGTCGGGAGCTGGACCGGTACCGCCTGGATCTATGCGGCATTCAGGAGGTCCGGTGGACCGGCTCTGGCTCCTGCCACCATGAGGGGTGGACAGTCCTCTACTCGGGGCAGCAGACTGCCAAACAACAGGGTGTGGGTCTTCTTTTGAACAAAAGAATGAAGGGGGCGTGGGAGCGTGGCGGTGAGGTGTGGGAAGCTGTAAGCCCCAGGCTACTTTGGGCTCGCCTTCCCATCAACCGGAGGCGAGGAATGGTGGTCGTGGTTACTTATGCCCCCACCGAAGATGAACATCCGTGGAGGGATGCAGGCAAAGCCGATGAGTCAGATGCCTTCTATGACCTCCTTTCACAGCTGCTGGCTAAAGTGGCCCCTCGGGATAGAGTCATCATGTTGGGTGACTTCAATGCCCGAGTTGGTCATGATACTGGCACCTGGTCTGGAGTGATTGGAGGGCATGGGCCAGATCAGCTCAATAACAACGGTAGGAGGCTGCTAGATTTTTGTGCAGCCCATGGGCTTGTAATTACCAACACGCTGTTCCGGCATCGGCGCATCCACACAACATCATGGATGCATGCCGGGTCCAAGCAAGAACATCTGCTGGACTACATAGTGACGGACCAGCGAATGCGAGCCCATGTCCTTGACACCAGGACCTACCGTGGAGCTGATCTGCCCTCTGACCATCGACTAGTCATCTGTAAGATGCGCCTGCCATTCTTCCACTCCGGTGGTGGGTGTACACCCAGGACCCCATTCCAACCTAAAGTGGCCTGGTCTCAGTTATCTGATGAAAGTTGCAAGCGAGAATTTCATCATCGCTTGCAGCTGGGATTGGCATCGTCCCCGACTCCTCCTGATGTCGAGGGTAAATGGGCGAGGTTTAGGACTGTGACTCATGCAGCTGCAATGGCTGCTTTGGGTACGCGGTCCAGACCTCCCCAGACACCCTGGATGACAGAGGAGTTGTTCAGGATGGTTGAGAAAAAGCGACAGGCCCACTGTCATCGGCTACAGAATCCCACGTCAGAGAATGAGGAGGCTTACCGCAGCCTTCGCTCGGAGGTTCGGAGAGCCGTGAGGCGCTGCAAGGATGGGTGGTGGTCGCGGGTTGCTGAGGAGATGGAGTCTGCCTCAGTGGCCCGTGATCACAAATCGCTATTTAACTCCATCAAAAAAGTAACCTGCAGCGCCACACCTATTACCATCATTAGGGGAAAAAAACGGTGATCCAATTTCCGACCCCCAGGAACAGGTTCGCAGATTTGCTGAGCATTTCTGTGAGGTCCTGGGGGAGGGAAAATCCCACAGCCAGGAAAACATCGTGGCACAAAGTGAGGATGACCCTGCTGAGGCTGCGGTGCCTCAAATATTGGATGAAGTCACCCCCTGTGAGTGGCTGGCTGAGGTGCCATCTGCTGAGGAAGTATTGAAGGCGATACGGAGTCTGAGACCAGGAAAGGCAGCGGGCAGAGATGATCTCCCAAGCGAAATGCTGAGGGAGGGTGGCGTTTGTGCACAGACTGCCCTATATGACATCATAACAACAGTCTGGACCACTGGACGGGTTCCGCAGGATTGGAAGGATGCCCTGGTGGTCCCCCTTTTTAAGAAGGGGGACCGCACAGACTGTAACAACTACAGGGGCATCTCACTCCTCAGTGTGCCGGGAAAGGTCCTGGCAAGGATTATTCAGCATCGCCTTGCCAGGCACGCTGAGGAGAGGCTTGCGGAGCCCCAATGCGGTTTCAGGAAAGGGCGGTCCTGCACGGATGCCATATTTTCTGTCCGTCTGCTACAGCAGAGGTGTAGGGAATTCCAACAAGACCTACATCTCTGCTTTATTGACCTGGTCAAGGCCTATGATACCATCAGTAGGCCTGGGCTCTGGGTCGTTCTTTGTGCTTTTGGAGTACCTGACCCTCTGCTCACGATCATTAAGGACCTTCATGATGGTGAGCGGGCCCGGGTAAAACTACGTGGCCGGGAGTCAGAGCCATTCCCTGTACACCTTGGGGTGCGACAGGGATGTCCTCTGGCTCCCACATTATTTAACATCTATTTTGACCACGTAGTTCGTGAAGCCTTCAATAGCTGTACCGGGGGAATCTCCATATGGTACAGATATAATGGGAGGCTAATCGATGCCCGGGTGCGGTCAAGGGATGGCTCCCTATTGCTCAACCACGTTATGTATGCTGATGACTTGGTAATAGCTGCTCAGTCAGAGGAGGAGTTGGAGACGCTGCTGCTGAGACTGGAGCGTGCCACTAAGAGGTGGGGCCTTACCATCAGCCCCACCAAAACTAAGCACCTGCCTGGGTATTTTGTACCATCGGACACTCCACCCCCACAACTCCCAATCGGTGATGGGGCAGTTGTGGAGAGAGTGGAGAGTTTCCCATACCTGGGCAGTGTGCTTATGACTGGCTCCAGTTTAACAGCAGAGGTCTCACTCCGAATCAGTCGAGCGGCAATATCTTTTCATCGGTTGCGTAACGCTGTGTGGAAGCTACCTGGTCTGTCGCTCCGCACTAAGCTTCAGGTCTTCTCGGCCACGGTCATTCCCTCCCTTCTCTACGCTTGCGAAACGTGGACCCCCCTAATGGAACATCTTCGCCGGTTAGAAACATTTAGGCTGACCTGCCTACGATCCATCCTGGGTTTAACCAGACTGGATTGTGTGAGGAGCTCACAAATCCTTGAAAGATCTGGGCAGGGTCCCATCGGTGAGCTCCTCCGGCAGGCAAGGCTGCGATGGCTGGGTCATGTAGCCCGCATGCCCAGCCACCGCATGCCGAAACAGCTTTTGTTTGGCCGGATTGAGGGGGCTAAGCGGGCGCGGCACGGGCTAGAGAAGAGATGGAGTGATGTGGTACAGGAGGACGTGGAGCTGAGTGGACTTGCCGATGACTGGTACCAGCGGTGTCAAGATCGGCCTCTGTGGAGGAGGCTCGTGAAGGATGCTACTGGGCAGTTGGAGGCAGTCGCCCTCCAACAACAACGGAGGGCGGAGGAGCGACGCTCACAACAGCGAGCGGAGCGCCGGGTGGCTAAAGCACAGCAGGTTGGCACAGTAGGGGGCACAGGTGGTGCATCAGCCAGTCATCTCAGTCAGTCGACCCGTGGCACCTGGGTCTGCCCCGTGACCTCCTGCCAGCGGGCGTTCGACACTTCACGTGGCCTCAGGGTGCACATAGCCTGGCACAAGCGTCGTGGTGACGTCACCGCCACTTAGTGGCGAATGGCGGTTGTTGTTGTTGTTGTTGTGTGTGTGTACGTGTGTGTACGTGTGTGTGTGTACGTGTCTGTACGTGCGGAGTGGTAGTGTGGCGGTTCGCGCCCCGCGCTACGATCCTGGCGACGCGACTTTAATACCTGGCCACGGCCAACACCAGTGACGATTATCTGAACCGGTCATGAGCCTCCCCTAGGTCGACTTCGCCTGAAATGAGTACCTGGTGCAGTGTATAAAAACATCGCCACTGGGGAAACAAAGGCGGTTGGTGTTGGCCACCCACCCCCTCATATGCCGTGCCGGCCTTCAGAGGTGCTTGCTAACAGCACTTGCCTCATAAGTCAGTTATGGCTAAACGGGGCTGATCTTTGTATGCACACGAATGTGTGTGTACACCTGCACAGACGGCCACTCGCGACTCGCATACACGCGTGTCCATGTGTGCGCATACACGTGGGCACCCGTACAAAACAAAGATTCCCTGTATAGCCTTTAACAGACTGTTGGTGCGTAGCGCCTACGCCCCGCGTCGCCTGAGCGAGCGACGCGTCTGCCGACAGGACGTCCACTCGGAGAAGGCCACTTTGACGGTGATCCCCACGCAGCAGGAGCCGCCCACCCTCAACCGCACCAACCGCTTCACCAGCAGCTTCCAGGGCATCGTGGACGCGTACGGCGTGGGCAGTTACCGCGAGGTCAACCCCGGTGGGTCGCGTGGCCGCTCGCGACCGCGACGACGCGTCTGTGCGTGCGTGAACGTTTGCGCGCCCGCAAGCATTTGTAAGCGGGCCGTGGTGGTGTGTGAGAGCGTGACGGCCAACGTGATCGTCTTCGCCATCGTCTTCATCATCACCGCTGCTACCAGCACCATTACCACCACCACCACCACCACCGTCGTCACTGCTATCATCACGGTCACTGCACCCACCAGCATCACCCAACTGTCATCACCACCACGGCTACTACTAAAACTTAAAGAAACAATTTTTTTTTTACCAGGTAAGACCTATTGAGCGATATTACTTTTTTCTGAAGCGACCTGGCCACAAATGACAACTCTACGAAGTGGCTTATCAAGTGGAGATGTATTGCAACAAAATAATCTAAACGTGTGGTGCTGTTAATTCTAAATGTGAAGAGGGAAAGACCGGAGGACCCGGAGAAAAATCCTCACGACCACGAGGAGAGAGACACCGCAGACTCCACATACAGAGGCATTGTCAGGGTCGGGATCGGAACCACGACCTCCTGTATACCAGGCGAGGGAGTTAACATCTCACGGCCATCTTCAACTGAGACCCCTTCCCTGACTCTCTTTTCCCTCGTTCCTTCTCTCCGCCCTCTCCCCCCGCAGCGCCGTACACGATCATCACCTTCCCCTTTCTCTTCGCCGTGATGTTCGGCGACCTGGGCCACGGTGCCATTTTGCTGCTGTTCGCCCTCTGGATGGTGCTGAAGGAGAATAACAAGGCGTTCAAGAGCAGCAACAACGAGGTGGGCGCCGGGAGACGCAGATCGTCGTCCCGAGACGACTGGCCGGGCACGGGGAGAGCCTGGGGGGCGACTGTGGGCCAAGCTTGGGTAGCTACGGCCCAGCGGGTCGGACAGGGCCCGTGAGTTGATATCGTACAGCCCGCAGTCAAAGAACAATCAGGATAATAATGTTTCGCTTCTTACCCAAAATATTCAAATTAAACGGAGCGACTGTCGGGAGTGGCGTGAGCGGGCGCCGACCCGTGAACCCACGCGTGCCCCGCGTGAGCCTGTGCTTACCCGTGTGTGCCCGTGTGGATGGCCCCTGCGTACCCGTGTCGGCTGGGAGTAGATCTGGCAGCAGCTCTTTGGAGGGCGCTACATCATGCTGCTCATGGGGCTCTTCTCTATCTACACGGGATTCATCTACAACGACTGCTTCTCCAAGCCGCTGACGATCTTCCCCTCGGCCTGGAACGTCACCGCCATGATCAAAGGATCTTGGAAGTACGCAGACGTCCAGATATGCGCGCACACTCGGATACATACACGCACACACAGACAAACTCGGATAAATACACGCACGCACAGACACACGCACAGACATGCACAGACACGCACAGACACACTCGGATACATACACGCACGCACAGACACACACACGCACGCACAGACACGCACGCACAGACACATTCGGATACATAATACAGGCATGCACAGACACACGCACGCACAGACACACGCACGCACAGACACACGCACGCACAGACACACGCACGCACAGACACACGCACGCACAGACACACACACGCACAGACACACTCGGACACAAGTAACGCACACACTCACAGGCAAACAAAGATCAAAGATCCCCCATATAGCCTTAACAGACTGTAGGGGCAAGTGCTGTTAGCGAGCACCTATGAAGGCTGGAACGGCACACGAGGGGGTGGGTGACTAGCACCACGCTCGACCGCCTTTGTCTCCCTAGTGGCAATGTTTACACACTGCACCAGGTACTCATTTGAGGCCGAGTTGACCTAGGGGAGGCCCAGGACCGGTTCAGATAATCGTCACTGGTGTTGGCCATGAGCTGGAATCAAACTCGGGTCGCCAGGTTCATAGCGCAGCGCGCTAACCGCTGCACTACCGCTCCCCACAGGCACACGCACACACAGACACATGCACGCACAAGTACACGCACGCACAGACACACTCGGACACGTCCGCACGCACTCACAGGCACACGCACACACAGGCACGCGTGCACAGACGCACGCACAGACACGCACACACATTGACGTGTACACACACACACATTCGGACACACACTCGGATACACACTCGCACATTCGAGACACACACTCAAGGCACAAATGCGCGTATGCAATGACAACAACATTTGCCACCAAGTGGCGGTGACATCACCACAGTGACACACAAAGTGACCAAGGCAAAGATCCCCCGTGTAGCCTTAACAGACTGTTTGGGGGCAAGTGCTGTTTGCGAGCACCTATCAAGTCCGGCACGGCACACGATGGGGTGGGTGGCCAGCACCGTGCCTGGCCACCTTTGTCTCTCCAGGTACTCATTTGAGGCCGAGTTGACCTAGGAGAAGCCCAGAACCTGTTTATGTAATCGTCACTGGTGTTGACCGTGAACGGGAATTGAACTCGGGCAGCCGGGTTAGTAGCGCAGCGCACTAACCGCCACGCTACCGCTCCTCGCAAACGGTGACGCGCAGCGAGCAGACAGGGGGTGACGCTTGCCTCTTGCACCTCGCTTGCTTCCCCAGCGTGACGCACACCAACATCAGCAGCATCCAGCTGCTCGCCCTGGACCCCAATATCAGCGGCGTCTTCACAACCCCCTACCCCTTCGGCATCGACCCGGTAAATACTCGGCCTGACGGGCAACGCCGCGGCAAAACCCGGCGGTGCTCGCGGCGGTTCAGGCGAGATGATGACAGCGGCGAGAATCGCGATCGGAGAGGGGAGAGGGGAGGGGGAGAGGGAGGGGAGGGGGAGAGGGGACAGGGAGAGGGGAGATGGAGATGGAGAGGGGTACAACGGATTGTTTCGCCTCGTTGCTCCACCGTGTAGGTGGGGGCTCGCTGCCCCCGTGGCCTAACGGTCAGCAGAAGCAATGGTGGGAGTTTCTTAACCCCCCCCCCATTCCTAACACTAAGCGAGCGATTGCCGTAGCCGTCGGCTCTCTCGACGGGGGAGCCGCGGAGGCGTTTAGAGAAATTGTGCCGAGGCCGGGGTCTGGGCAGTAGAGGGAGGAGGGGGTGGGGGGCCGGGCTTGCGACGACGGAGAAAGAAGAAGAAGATGAAGAAGGTGAAACGCCGCCGCCGCCGCTCTCCGGCGCTCGCCAAGCGGCGTGTTTGCACAGCGGTGAGCGACATTCACGATGAGGTGGAGCTCTCAACCCCCTGAGCACGGCGGCGGCGAGGTGGCCCAGGCACTGCCACCGTCGTCGTCGCCGGCCCCTCATCCACTTCGGGTTTTTCTTTTTACCAATCATTCATCATCAATCTCCTCAGCCGGGCTCGATCCACTGCTGTTTTGAGCGAGGCGTGAAGCCGTATCGAATCGGAATAAGCGCTTGGGTGGGCAGCGCTCTGCCCCTCGGCCTGTGTAGTGTTTTTGTAAATGTGTATTCGGCTCCTTATCGGTTTTGTTTTCATACAAACCGTTATCCCGATCGGGGCGAAGAGCGTCGCGTCGCCACGAGACGGCGAATCCGTTCGCAAGTCTCGCAGAGAGCAGTGTGCACGTCTTCATGTAGTTCAGGGGAAAGGGCCCGCGGAAGCGGATACCACAGAGCCACCTCTGAGATCCCCTTCTCAAGTGCTCTGTTCCACACAGTAGGGTGGGGGGGGGGGGTGGGCGCAGCACTTCCCCACTCATTCTACTGTCCTTTAAGAGCAACGTTCCTCACGTGAAAGTCAACATAAACAGGAGGCTTTCTCCAGAATTCTCCTGATCATGCTGGTTGTAATTGCTGGTGAAACGTCGTACTCGGTGTGCAATACTAGCCACGAATTGGCACGTTCTGTTCCCGTGACAAACCTTACTACGTTTAGATTCACGCGATCTAACCCAAAAACCTCGATTATGGAAAATATTTTTACTTCCCAAAGGTCGAGATGTCTTCACATTTAGTGAAACACCAATTGTAATATTATGGAGTCATTGGTGACTCGGCTGGGCCCATTCAGCTCGCTGCGTTTGGCTGATTTGTAATCTCTACGTGCCGATTGTGGTCACAGATCTGGGGCTTGGCCAAGAACCAGTTGACCTTCCTCAACTCGTACAAGATGAAGATGTCCGTGGTGCTGGGCGTCATCCACATGACGTTCGGAGTCATCCTCAGCTGCTTCAACCACGTGTAATGCGCTGTCCACACGCGAGCGCTGTACCACACACTGCGGTGCTTGCACCGTACACGCCCGCTGCTCCGGACAGTTTGAGGAATAGTGCCGGCACGTGGCGGTATTCTGTACCGGGGCTCCTCACGACACCGACACGCATACCGGCACGATTCACTGTGGCGAGAGGGGCGCCACGGTGGCTAGGAGATGTTAACTCCCTCGCCTGGTATACAAGAGGTCGTGGGTTCGATCCCGACCCTGACGCCTGTATATTTTGGAGTCTTCATGTTCTCCCTGTGGTTGTGTGGATTTTTCTCTGCGTCCTCCTGTTTTCCCCTCCAGGTATAGAAACACGCGTTTAGAGTATTTAGCCGCTATAAAATTCCACGTGGTAAGCCGCTTCGTTGAGCTATACATTTGTGGCCAGGTCGCTTCTGGGCCTTACCTGGTAAAATCAAACTATAATAGTTAGAGCTGCTATGCCAGGAGGTGGACTGACGCTGGTGATATCAGGATTGCAAATCCAGTGCGCTGCTAACATTTACATCAACTGTGGCAGCGTGCCCCAAAAATCACAACAATAGTATTAAACTGTACGAAACGATGGTGATGATAAAAGCCCAGTGAGAGCGTTGATTTATTTTAAGCATGGGAACTCGGTTCCAAACATACGTTTATATGTTGAACTTCTTTCGCACCGTACGTATCCCACCGGGCTAATCGGACGTGCGGGGGGAAGGACCACGAGCTAAAAAACAAAAAGCAGTTCCTAAAATAAAATTCTGGCGTTTTGGGCAATAAATCCCATGCGTTTGTGCGTGCTTGATCCCCCGTTCCTCCTCTCCACCTCTCCCCCCCGGCACTCACCGCCGACAGCCACTTCCGCGACTTCCCGAGCATCCTGCTGGTGTTTGTGCCGGAGATGGTGTTCATGCTGGCGCTGTTCGGCTACCTGGTGGTGATCGTGATCTACAAGTGGGTGGCGTGGCCCACCAGCATGTCCAACACGGCACCCAGCATCCTCATCGACTTCATCAACATGTTCATGTTCAGGAGCTCGGACAACCTCTATGCTCACCAGGTCAGCGGGAGAGTTTGTTATGGTAACAATGACAATGGTGTCATTTTGGCTTTGGTGCTCATCGAGAACAACACTGATAGTGACCAGTGATTACCGCTCCCACTGATAGTGACCAGTGATTACCGCTCCCACTGATAGTGACCAGTGATTACCGCTCCCACTGATAGTGACCAGTGATTACCGCTCCCACTGATAGTGACCAGTGATTACACCTCCCACTGATAGTGACCAGTGATTACCCCTCCCACTGATAGTGACCAGTGATTACACCTCCCACTGATAGTGACCAGTGATTACCGCTCCCACTGATAGTGACCGGTGATTACCGCTCCCACTGATAGTGACCAGTGATTACCCCTCCCACTGATAGTGACCAGTGATTACCCCTCCCACTGATAGTGACCAGTGATTACCGCTCCCACTGATAGTGACCAGTGATTACCCCTCCCACTGATAGTGACCAGTGATTACCGCTCCCACTGATAGTGACCAGTGATTACCCCTCCCACTGATAGTAACCAGTGATTACGCCTCCCACTGATAGTGACCAGTGATTACCGCTCCCACTGATAGTGACCAGTGATTACCCCTCCCACTGATAGTGACCAGTGATTACCCCTCCCACTGATAGTGACCAGTGATTACCCCTCCCACTGATAGTGACCAGTGATTACGCCTCCCACTGATAGTGACCAGTGATTACCGCTCCCACTGATAGTGACCAGTGATTACCCCTCCCACTGATAGTGACCAGTGATTACCCCTCCCACTGATAGTGACCAGTGATTACCCCTCCCACTGATAGTGACCAGTGATTACCCCTCCCACTGATAGTGACCAGTGATTACCCCTCCCACTGATAGTGACCAGTGATTACCCCTCCCACTGATAGTGACCAGTGATTACCCCTCCCACTGATAGTGACCAGTGATTACCGCTCCCACTGATAGTGACCAGTGATTACCCCTCTCACTGATAGTGACCATTGATTACCCCTCCCACTGATAGTGACCAGTGATTACGCCTCCCACTGATAGTGACCAGTGATTACCCCTCCCACTGATAGTGACCAGTGATTACCGCTCCCACTGATAGTGACCAGTGATTACCCCTCCCACTGATAGTGACCAGTGATTACCGCTCCCACTGATAGTGACCAGTGATTACCCCTCCCACTGATAGTAACCAGTGATTACGCCTCCCACTGATAGTGACCAGTGATTACCGCTCCCACTGATAGTGACCATTGATTACCCCTCTCACTGATAGTGACCAGTGATTACCTCTCCCACTGATAGTGACCAGTGATTACACCTCCCACTGATAGTGACCAGTGATTACCGCTCCCACTGATAGTGACCAGTGATTACCCCTCCCACTGATAGTGACCAGTGATTACCCCTCCCACTGATAGTGACCAGTGATTACCCCTCCCACTGATAGTGACCAGTGATTACCCCTCCCACTGATAGTGACCAGTGATTACCCCTCCCACTGATAGTGACCAGTGATTACCCCTCCCACTGATAGTGACCAGTGATTACCCCTCCCACTGATAGTGACCAGTGATTACCGCTCCCACTGATAGTGACCAGTGATTACCCCTCTCACTGATAGTGACCATTGATTACCCCTCCCACTGATAGTGACCAGTGATTACGCCTCCCACTGATAGTGACCAGTGATTACCGCTCCCACTGATAGTGACCAGTGATTACACCTCCCACTGATAGTGACCAGTGATTACCCCTCCCACTGATAGTGACCAGTGATTACCCCTCCCACTGATAGTGACCAGTGATTACTGCTCCCACTGATAGTGACCAGTGATTACCCCTCTCACTGATAGTGACCATTGATTACCCCTCCCACTGATAGTGACCAGTGATTACCCCTCTCACTGATAGTGACCAGTGATTACCCCTCTCACTGATAGTGACCATTGATTACCCCTCTCACTGATAGTGACCAGTGATTACCTCTCCCACTGATAGTGACCAGTGATTACACCTCCCACTGATAGTGACCAGTGATTACACTTCTCACTGATAGTGACCAGTGATTACCGCTTCCACTGATAGTGACCAGTGATTACCCCTCCCACTGATAGTGACCAGTGATTACTGCTCCCACTGATAGTGACCAGTGATTACCCCTCCCACTGATAGTGACCAGTGATTACACCTCTCACTGATAGTGACCAGTGATTACCCCTCTCACTGATAGTGACCAGTGATTACCCCTCCCACTGATAGTGACCAGTGATTACCCCTCTCACTGATAGTGACCAGTGATTACACCTCCCACTGATAGTGACCAGTGATTACACCTCCCACTGATAGGGACCAGTGATTACCCCTCCCACTGATAGTGACCAGTGATTACGCCTCTCACTGATAGTGACCAGTGATTACCCCTCTCACTGATAGTGACCAGTGATTACCCCTCTCACTGATAGTGACCAGTGATTGCCTCTCCCACTGATAGTGACCAGTGATTACCCCTCCCACTGATAGGACCAGTGATTACACCTCCCACTGATAGTGACCAGTGATTACCCCTCCCACTGATAGTGACCAGTGATTACACTTCCCACTGATAGTGACCAGTGATTACACCTCCCACTGATAGTGACCAGTGATTACCCCTCTCACTGATAGTGACCAGTGATTGCCTCTCCCACTGATAGTGACCAGTGATTACCCCTCCCACTGATAGGACCAGTGATTACACCTCCCACTGATAGTGACCAGTGATTACCCCTCCCACTGATAGTGACCAGTGATTACCCCTCCCACTGATAGTGACCAGTGCTTACCCCTCCCACTGATAGTGACCAGTGATTACACCTCCCACTGATAGTGACCAGTGATTACACCTCTCACTGATAGTGACCAGTGATTACACCTCTCACTGATAGTGACCAGTGATTACCCCTCCCACTGATAGTGACCAGTGATTACCCCATCCCACTGATAGTGACCAGTGATTACGCCTGTCAGCGCTGTCCGTGGTGGTTTTCAGTGATTGTGACGCCGGCTCCCTCCGCTGACCCCGCCACGCCGCTGTCGTCCCCGCGAGCAGGCGAAGGTGCAGATGCTGCTGGTGGTGGTGGCCGTGCTCATGGTGCCCGTGTTGCTGCTGGGGAAGCCGCTGTCCCAGGTCGTCGCGTTGCGGATGAGGCGCAGGGTGAGCGGTGCGACGATGGTTTCTGTTACTCGACGGGTCTGATAGCACGGCTATGATGGTTCGCCTCCGTTCCCACGCGTGCTGCTGGTCGGGAGGTTTTCACAAGCTGCGTCTCGCTGGGCGTGGCTTACGGGGGTTTCCCGCCTTCGGGGGGTGGGATGTGGGGGGGGGGGTGACCACCGTTTTTAAAGGGGGCGCGAGTTATCGAGCACGAAACCAGCAGACAGGACATCGTTAGTCGATGAAGTCTGAGGCTCCTGCGCAGGGGCTCTGGCCGTGCCGCTCCCTCGTCGCGTCCACGACCCTACGTGGGGATCACAGACGCTACGTGGGGATCACAGACGCTACGTGGGGATCACAGACGCTACGTGGGGATCACAGACGCACAGAGACGCAGCCACCCATAGACTCGTAGAGACTCTCACACACTTACAGACACTTGCATTGTTTTTTCACCGTTTTTGTGTTGTTGTTGTAACCTTCTGACTCGCTCCTGCTGGACATCTGTGAAAATGAGCTTCATAGCTCACCGGATTCCTCCAGGATAAATACTGATTCTGATTCTGAGGCTCGTAGACACGCTTACATTAACACGATCCAGAGAGTAGTGTAGAGCACTATCGATTTGCAGAGAGATGCGTGAACTTTGGCGGGGCGTGGGGGCGGTGCTCAGAGTTTCTCTCTCCACGAGCGTCTCCCCGGCACCTCTTCTGCAGTCCCATCCACTGCCCTCGTGTCTCGCTCACCGCACCGCCCCCCTCTCACTCCCAGTCAAAGTCTTCTTTATTTAGATTGGAAGACTCCGGTGAGCTATGAATCCCTTTTTCACAGATGTCCAGTAAGGGCGCGGGGTTAGAAATTTTCAACACCAAATAAAATACCGAAACCAATAGGAGTTCAAAGTACAGGAAAGCAAGGCAAGTCAATAAATGAAAATAAATCAAGTGTACAAGTACAAATTGCTTAAGTTGTACATCAATTCCTGCCGATTGTTCAACCTGCGCCGAGGGTGTCTCCCCGCACACGCACGCGGCTACCGCGCGGGAGGGCGGTGAGCAAGCTCCTGCCGCGTCAGCTGACGTCACACGGCGGGCTGGGGAGACGCACGATGCACGTGGGGGCAGCCCCGTCAGTCTCTCCGCCGCCGGACGTAGCCCTCCAGTTGCGATCGCTGACCGCCCCCCCCCCCCTCCTCCCATTCGCGATGCCCCCCCCCCCCCCATGCCCCCCCCACTCCGCACCCCAGCAGAGGGATCTCACGCTGCTGATTCAGTCGGAGGAGAGGACGCCGCTCCTGACCGCCGTGACCGTGGAGGCCGATCCGGACTCTGAGCACGCGGAGGTGAGTGTGCGGAGTCTGTCCACGCGCGAACGCGTTTAGATGAAGACGTCGCGACGCTCTGTCCCGGCCGGCTGCCTGGGTCTGCGAGGCCCTCCCGCCGGAGGCGCGGAGAAGCTCATCGCCACCACTGTGCTGCCACTTTGGTTTCGCGAAAAAATACGAACAACAACGGTGGTGATCTTTTTTTGTCCATTTTGTCGGCGTTGGCGTCGTGAGACGAGGAGAGATCCTCTCGGGACTTCTCCCCACGAATCCATCTCGATAAAATCGTCTTTTTATCCTTCGGCCGACCCTTCCGTCCCGACCGCGCTGTGCCTGTGGCGCGTAGCGGGGTCGTGATGTGGACTGTCCGTGGGGGTCCGGAGCTACGTTGGAAGAAAGGATTTCGTTGCGTTTACAATCAGACGGCCATGTTTGGAACGTGACGTTGTTTTTGGAACGTGACGTCGGCACCGTTTTCACGAGCGCCCCTCCCCCCTCCGCTACAACGTGCAGGTTGACTTCAGCGACATCTTCATGCACCAGGCGATCCACACCATCGAGTACTGCCTGGGCTGCATCTCCAACACGGCCTCCTACCTGCGCCTCTGGGCGCTCAGCCTGGCGCACGGAGGTGCGTCCTCAGTCTCGTCGTCCTCGTCCCTCCGTCCGCTCTTCCCCCACCCCGGCCCTTCCCCTCATTATTATTGTAACTCTCTGACCCACCCGTGCTGCGCACCTGTGAAAAAGAGCTTCGCGGCTCATCGGATTCCTCCTGCAGTCTAAATAAAGATTCCGATTCTCAAATGCGGAGAAAGAAAATCTGCAACACGCAAAGCCGCCTCAAAATGGTGGGCCCCGTGTTGGTCGCTGGCCGCGCGTGGCGGAGTCGCGAGCCCCTCGGCTCCCGGGAACTAACCCTGGGCTCCTCTTGCTGTGCTCTTCGGTGAATGTGAACGTACACCACCCCAACCCCCCCCCCCCCCCCCCCCCCCCCCCCCCGCGTGCGCAGAGCTGTCCGAGGTGCTGTGGAAGATGGTGCTGAGCTTCGGGCTCCGGGCGACGAGCTGGTCGCACGCCGTGCTGCTGGTGCCCATCTTCGGGGCCTTCGCTGTGCTCACGCTCTCCATCCTGCTCGTCATGGAGGGGCTCTCCGCATTCCTGCACGCGCTGCGCCTGCACTGGTAACCGCGCAACAACAACAACAACCACCGCTAGCCACCGAGCGGCACTGACGGCGCCAGGGCACGCTCGTGCCAGGCCAGGTGCGCTTTGGGGCCATCGCGCGTGCGTTGTGGTCGGACCGGGTTCTCAAGGGCAGGGAGACGATGGCCTCGGCCTGCTCACCAGTGACTTAGACCGCACAGTTACCCAAGGACTCGCATAGACTGCGTTGCGATTAAACTGGGTTTTTATGGGGGCAGTGAAGTTGATGGTCTGAGCCTGTTTATCAATGGCTACACAACTACTAGGGGTGGATGAGTGGGTGGATGGGTGGCTGAGTGGGTGGGTGGCTGAGTGGGTGGGTGGCTGAGTGGGTGGGTGGCTGAGTGGGTGGGTGGCTGAGTGAGTGGGTGAGTGAGTGGGTGGGTGGGTGAGTGGCTGAGTGAGTTTGGGTGAGTGGGTAGGTGGCTGGGTGAGTGTGTAGGTGAGTGGGTGGGTGGGTGGGTGAGTGGCTGAGTGAGTTTGCGTGAGTGGGTGGGTGAGTGAGTGGGTGGGTGGCTGAGTGAGTTTGGGTGAGTGGGTAGGTGGGTTAGTGAGTGGGTGAACTTACCGCACCAGCTACTCATTTGAGGCTGAGTCGACCTAGAGGGAGGCCCAGGACCGGTTCAAATATTCTTCACCACTGTTGTTGGTCGTGAGTGGGAATTGAACTCGGGTCGCCGGGTTTGTAGCGCAGCTCGCACACCACTGTGCCACCACTCCGCACGCACACATGCATACGCGTACAGACACGCGCGCGCCACCAGATGGCGTCCTCTCTTAGTTCATCGTGGACAAAAATCAACAGCAAGTCAATCGCTGTTCACGAGCATTGAGCAGAGTTCATTCGTGTGTCCCTCTCTCCCAACGTTGTTCACGCTGTGCTCTCGGTATCGAGAGGCAGAAACGGACACTCGGAACGCTCGCTCAACATTGCATCACCCCACGTGTTAGACAACGGCCTTGCAGAACTACTTCTGAGATCCCGCGCGTGACGTCTTATGGATACGGGGAGGGGGGGAAGGCACTCTCGTACGGGCCCTGGCATAGGGACTATCGTACAGGTGCGCTTACTGCACCTGTGCATCACCCACTGAACCACTATTGAGGAGCCTATTGAGGCCGGCACGGTGCATGAGTGGGTGCTGTGGAAAAAAACTAAAACTAAACTATTTTTATTTTACCAGGTACTTCCCCACTGAGCTATAGAGCTCTTTGTCATAAGCGACCTGGCAATCACAAATGATAAGCTCGACGAAGTGGCCTCTCACGTGGAAATTTATAGAACTGATTTTGTTGATTCTAAGAGTTTGAGTTTCTTAGTTTATGGCATGTGCTTCGGGTCTGCATTTGTGACCAGGCTAAGAGCCACCGACCGGCTGCTGTGCTTGAAGAACCAGTTCAATCACGTGGGTGCCTGAAGTCCCGGCTTCAAACCCAGAATCTCACAGATGCCAGCTCAGTCCCCTCTGCCCCTCTGAGCCCTGAGCCGCTCGGCCGTCTGTGGTTCAGTCTCCTCCTCACCACGCCGAACTTAATCGGAACAAGGCTGTTTGTGAACCAAACTAAGAATACCATTGTTTTAAATGTCATTATTTTGTTAAATTGTTCTTGTTGTATTAATATATTTTGGTCCGGTTCCCAGTTCCTGTAACATGTAGCGATACTCGCTGTTTGTGTTACGACTTATTTAACTAAGATCTGTACTGTATAACAAGTGTTCAGCAGCTCATTGGGCCCTTCCTGCTAAAATAAATACAATCTAATTCTCAAGTTATGTTATTTTAAATATGACTAACCAACTAAAAAGTAATATACCAGCTTTGGTTGTTTAACTTTGTGCCAATTAACGAAGTAATTAGCACAAACCTAAACATGTGATAATTTACCTTAAAATGAAAGTACTAATAAATTGATCGAGCGGCTCTTCGTAATCTCATTCAGCAGGCACCACATTTACATATTCATATAATTTACAGCTCTTTGTCAGAATCTGAATAGTTATACTGGAGGAATCCGCTGAGCTTTAAATCTCTTTTTCATAGATGTCTAGTAAATCCTCTGCTGAATAATGGCCTCCGCTTAACTTTTTGGCCATAGGAGTTGCTTGTGAATGGCCGATCTATAACTCGCCACTGATGCTAGCCACGGCCGCGATTCGAACTTGGAATTCCTTGGTTTCGTAGCGCAGCGCGCAAATCACTGCACCAACGCTCCCATGTGTATGTGAACGATCAAAGAGGAGGGGGGGCAGGGGGGTGGGAGGTGGGGGGCTAACCGTGCCGAGATGACGTTCCCCTTCAAAGACTTCCAAGAATCCACACTTTGCATTTACTTTCTGGTTTCCATCGCAACCGCACAACCACCACATGGCTCACGCTCACACACGTGTGTGTGTGTGTGCGCGTCTGTCCGTGCGTGTCCATGTGTGTGTCCGGGTGGGGAGCGCTGGTGTAGCGGTCAGTGCACCGCGTTATGAACCCGGCGACACGAGTTTGATTCCCGCTCACGGCCAACACCAGTGACGATTATCTGAACCGGTCTACGCCCTGCTCTAGGTCGACTCAGCCTCACATGAGTACCTGGTGGGGAGACAAAGACGGCCGGGCGTGGTGCTGGCCACTCACGCCCTCGTGTGTACCATCACGGCCTCAATAGGTGCTCGCTAACAGCACTTGTCCCAACAGTCTGTTAATGTTGGGGGATCTTTGTCTTTTTGTGTGTCCGTGTCCATGCAGGGTGGAGTTCCAGAACAAGTTCTACAAGGGATCAGGGTACCTGTTCGTTCCGTTCTACTTCCAACCAATCCTGGAAGGCCTGGTGCACACAGACTAAGCCCCCCGCGGTTATCCCAAGAAACACCCCCCCCCCCCCCGCCGCCCCCTCACATACTTCACTTTTACAAAATGCAACAGGGATTACACGAGACTTCTACCATGCACCTGCCATTCTCAAGCGGTCGGCTGCCGATCTTTTTCCAACATCCCCCCCCCCCCGCATCCTCGCGATAGTTTTCAAATTAAAACGTTTTGCGTTACGGATTTTTAGGGCCAGTTTTAGATTTTTATTCTTCACATTTTCTGATAATTTTGTTGAAAACTCCTTCGTACCAACGACGGTGACGTCACGCGCCGCCGCCGCTCTTGGCCGGAGAAGCGTGGCAGTGACGTCACGCAAAGCTAAATGTTGGAATCATCCAGGATTTTGCATCTTGGCCTTGTTTTCAGGTTTTTCTGATTTATCCGGAATTAGAGAGCACGTCCCTCCCAACATACCAGTTTTCACGCGTTAATCTCTTACCGCTTTCTAAACAGTGTGGGGACGAAAAATGTCAACAATGTTTGCTTTGAAAAGCCAGTACGTGCCAAACGGTCTCGAGCATTGGCAGCCTCGTGCTTTCCGTCGGCAGGGGTGATCAGTCAGTACGTCGCACACACGCAAAAGCTGCTCATCTCCCATGCAAACATCAACCTCCCCCTTCGCCTTACTGTCGACTGGGGCAGACAGCGTGATGCTAGCGAGCACCTGTTGAAGGTCGGCAGCACTGCTGGCGAGTGGTGGTGGTGGTGGTGGTGTGGCCAGGAACACGTGTGGGGGTTCCTGTGGTTCTCCCGTGGCTATGGGGCGGGCTGCACCATGAGGCTCGGAACAAGTTGAGGTGCTAAGCGTGGCCGGGGAATTGAAATCGAGACTGTTGCATCGCCACAGCTATGAAGAGCCTCTGTGTAGACTTTAACAGACTGTTGGGGCGGGAGCTGTCAGCGAGCTCCTATTAAGACCGATACGGTTCCAGGGGGAAGTGTAGCCATCTTTGTCTCTCTAGAGCTGATGTTGATACGCTCTCTCCCCAAGCACTCACTTGAGACTGAATTGACGAAGGGAATCCCCAAGCACTCACTTGAGACTGAATTGACGAAGGGAAGGCCCAGACTGGTTCTGATTCCACTAGCCACTGATAGTTCGCTGTGACCAGGGGGGATCGAACTCAGGCCGCCGGGTTCATTGCGCACTGCCACCGCCCACCACCCAACCACTCTCCACAGTCCACTGCACAAGATCCCCCGTGTAGCCTTTAACAGATTGTTGGGGACAGTGCTGTTAGCGAGTAGCACCTATGAAAGCTGGCGCAGCACACGAGGGGGTGGCTAACACCACGCCCGGCCACCTTTGTATTCCCAATGCTGATGTTTACATACCGCACCTGGGACTCGTTTGAGGCTGATTCGATCTAGGGGAGGCCAAGGACCACTTCAAATATCTGCTGCTGTTGGTCGTGAGCGAGAGTCGAACTCGGGTCTCCGGATTGCGCACCGCTCCCCTACACGCGCACACACGCACGAAATACTGCCACAATGTACATTTTTTTTTTATCCCGAATGCGAAAGGGAATTTGCTACTTGAGAAATTTTTAGACGGAAAACATTGACTATGGTTTTCTCTTCTGAATGCTGTGTTTAAAATATTTTTTTAAACAAATCTTTTAGCGGCGGGCGGGCGGGCGGGCAGTGGTGGGAAAGGAAACGTGGGTGGTGTGGGGGGACAATACACGCGTTTGCTATCGCTGGGCACGTAATCTTCGTCTACTTCCGAAATTGAAGTTAAAACTGAAGCCGTGGCGGGCTCGCCCGAGACCGCGGGAAGCGCGTCTGGTTCCCGACCCCATGGCCGATCGGGGCCATCGATTTTCGCGTTTCCATGGTTTGGTCGCACATTTCATTCCAATGGTTTGGTAAGAGTGCACGGATCCATCGACCCATCGACCACCATCGATTCTCGCGGTGCACTGATCGAATCGCGTGTGCACATTTGTTTGCGTGCGCACGATAGGCTAAATGTTACGTCTCGGCTAGCGGGGCTAGCAGAGCTGTTTGAAACGAGAAACAATACCAACGAGACGCTAAAACGAGCCACGGCCAACCAATCCTTGAATCGAATTGTGTCCGTGAATTCAAGACGATTTGATTTGCTCGCTCGATGGGAGGCTGGATCGTTACAGCCCTCATTATTAACGTATTAACTCCGTTAGCGAAGTCATGCCCTTTGTAACGAAACCTTCCAGATGCACAGTAAAAAACTAAAAAAAACAATGGGTGCCAAGAATATAGCCAACAGCAGGAGCCGAGAACAGAACTAGAACCGGTCAGAGTGATAAAGTGTGCGTGTGTGATTCCACGCTACAGAAGACGCGTTCACGCGCTCCACGGGTGACGCACTGTGTGTGTGTGACGCGCTGTGTGTGTGACGCGCTGTGTGTGTGTGACGCGCTGTGTGTGACGCGCTGTGTGTGACGCGCTGTGTGTGTGACGCGCTGTGTGTGACGTGCTGTGTGTGTGACGCGCTGTGTGTGACGTGCTGTGTGTGTGATGCGCTGTGTGTGTGACGCGCTGTGTGTGTGTGACGCGCTGTGTGTGTGTGACGCTCTCCAGGGCCCTCTAGCTCCCACTGCTGCGTCCCCCAGTGTTGTCACCCCCCCCCCCCCCCCCCCCCCCCCCCCCCCCCCCCCCCCCCCCCCCCCCCCCCCGTGTCTGCTGCGGTGTGGCGGTGCAGTCGCCACCAGCCATTTGCCCGCCACAATGCAACAACTCGGCACGCTCATTGCCACAGAAACAAATCCCAAATAAAATTCAAATGTTTGCCAAAACAAGTTTTGTGCGATGTTTGTGGAGTGAAGTTCCATCGCTGGACGACGGCTTCCCCGTGCGGCGCCCTCCTGCGCGATTGTGCAGGGCGATCCGTTTACAGATACCCCACCGATTTCCAGTGACCCTCCGTCCCTGTTCTCGACAGCTGACTTGTGGGTATCGTGAAAGCGATGTCGCAGCGGCATGGTTCCCGTGGGAGCGCACGCACGACTGTATGGAGGGTGAACTCCGTGTGCAGCAAGGAAAGTGGTAGTGCGTGCACTGCTGCAAGTGGTTTTCCTCCCACACGAACGCATCGGGGTGGAAAGTCCACCTCAAGAAGCACAACGTGCTCGCCCCAGGCAGCGAGGTCGGGACGTCGGCGTCGGCGAGCCGCCTAAAGCGGCAAACGCTGAGCCGGCCAGCGATCCCGGATCGCCTCCTGGTAAAGTTTGAGAACGCCGTGGTTGATTTTGTTATCCAAGGTGCAATCTCTTTGCGAGCCGCCGGCAGCGACAAGTTCAAGACCTTGGTCCACACACTGACGCAGGGATACGAGGGCCCGTCGACCCGCACCGTCATTCGCAGGATTGTCGAGCATCACGCCACCATGCTGCCCATCGTCGGGGCGTTCTTCTCCAACCTGGACGTCGCCATCTCGCTCACCATCGACGGGTGGTCGAACCGCAACCTGAAGGGATTTTGGATGGTCACGGTGCACTGGATCGACACCAAATCTGTTGCGTCGAAATCCTTGCTGCTGATGATCCTCTATGTGCAGTCCCGAAGGGGTGTCGGCAAGCGCATTGGCACCGCTCTGTTTGAGCACCTCCAGAGCCTTGGGCACAACGTCTCAAGCAAGCTGCTCGCTGTCACCAGCGACCAATGGCTCCGATGCGATCAGTGCTGTCAAGACGTTGTTCGCCCTGGTCAATGCAGATGCCGGATATAAGCAGTTGTGGGCTTGCCACCATATTCGCTGCCCGGATCATTGGGTCCAGATCAGCGTCGTCCAAGTTCTCAAACCGATCAAGTCAACCTACGCCGAACTGCGCGAGGCGCTCGTCAATATCAGGCGCAGCAAGGTCGTCCGGCAGTCGTACCGCCGCGAGGCCGAGATCGCCAAGCTCACCAAGCTCACCAAGGTCACCAAGCTCACCAAGATCACCAAGCTCACCAAGCCCACCAAGCTCGCCAAGCTCGCCAAGCTCACCAAGGTCACCAAGGTCACCAAGCTCGCCAAGCTCGCCAAGGTCACCAAGCTCGCCAAGCTCGCCAAGCTCGCCAAGCTCACCAAGCTCGCCAAGCTCACCAAGCTCACCAAGGTCACCAAGCTCACCAAGCTCGCCAAGCTCACCAAGGTCACCAAGGTCGCCAAGCTCGCCAAGCTCGCCAAGGTCACCAAGCTCGCCAAGCTCACCAAGCTCGCCAAGGTCACCAAGCTCACCAAGGTCACCAAGATCAAGCTCACCAAGCTCACCAAGCTCGCCAAGCTCGCCAAGGTCACCAAGCTCGCCAAGCTCACCAAGGTCACCAAGCTCGCCAAGCTCACCAAGCTCGCCAAGCTCATCAAGCTCACCAAGCTCGCCAAGTTCACCAAGCTCACCAAGGTCGCCAAGCTCACCAAGCTCGCCAAGCTCGCCAAGCTCACCAAGCTCACCAAGATCGCCAAGCTCACCAAGGTCACCAAGGTCACCAAGGTCGCCAAGCTCGCCAAGCTCGCCAAGCTCACCAAGGTCACCAAGCTCGCCAAGCTCACCAAGCTCGCCAAGCTCACCAAGCTCACCAAGGTCACCAAGCTCACCAAGCTCACCAAGCTCGCCAGCGAGGAGCCGACGCACCAGGACTCACCGACAAGGTGGAATTCGACGTGTGACATGGGCGACGACGCCATCAAGAAGCGTGTCCCATTGGACATTATCGTGGCGCGCTTCCAGGATGCGATCGGCGTCGGTGCTTTATCTGAACTGCAGTGGGCAAACATCAAAGGCGTGACAGCATTCCTGCGAATGCCTCGTCTGACCAGTTACGTTGTGACTAGTTTAACTAGCCTGGTGGTCACCACCAGGCTAGCTACACTAATTACGTAGTGACTAGTGTAGTTAGCCGGGTGGTCACCACCAGGTTAACTACACTAGTTATGTAGTATCTAGTGTAGTTAGCCGGGTGGTCACCACCAGGTTAACTACACTAGTTATGTAGTAACTAGTGTAGTTAGCCGGGTGGTCACCACCAAGCTAGCTACACTAGTTATGTAGTAACTAGTGTAGTTAGCCGGGTGGTCACCACCAGGTTAACTACACTAATTACGTAGTGACTAGTGTAGTTAGCCGGGTGGTCACCACCAGCTTAACTACACTAGTTATGTAGTAACTAGTGTAGTTAGCCGGGTAGTCATCACCAAGCTAGCTACACTAGATATGTAGTAACTAGTGTAGTTAGCCGGGTGGTCACCACCAGGTTTACTACACTAGTTATGTAGTATCTAGTGTAGTTAGCCGGGTGGTCACCACAAAGCTAGCTACACTAGTTATGTAGTAACTAGTGTAGTTAGCCGGGTGGTCACCACCAGGTTAACTACACTAGTTATGTAGTAACTAGTGTAGTTAGCCGGGTGGTCACCACCTAGCTAGATACACTAGATATGTAGTAACTAGTGTAGTTAGCCGGGTGGTCACCACCAGGTTTACTACACTAGTTATGTAGTATCTAGTGTAGTTAGCCGGGTGGTCACCACCAGGTTTACTACACTAGTTATGTAGTAACTAGTGTAGTTAGCCGGGTGGTCACCACCAGGTTAACTACACTAGTTATGGGCTAGGTGTGTGGAGGTGAGAGTGAGGTGTGACTAGCTGGGCTAGGAGTGTGGAGGTGTGAGTGAGGTGTGACTAGCTGGGCTACGAGTGTGGAGGTGTGAGTGAGGTTTGACTATCTGGGCTAGGAGTGTGGATGTGTGAGTGAGGTGTGACTAGCTGGGCTAGGAGTGTGGAGGTGTGAGTGAGGTGTGACTAGCTGGGCTAGGAGTGTGGAGGTGTGAGTGAGGTGTGACTAGCTGGGCTAGGTGTGTGGAGGTGAGAGTGAGGTGTGACTAGCTGGACTACGAGTGTGAAGGTGTGAGTGAGGTGTGACTAGCTGGGCTAGGTGAGTGGAGGTGAGAGTGAGGTGTGACTAGCTGGGCTAGGTGTGTGGAGGTGTGAGTGAGGTGTGACTAGCTGGGCTAGGTGTGTGGAGGTGTGAGGTGTGACTAGCTGGGCTAGGTGTGTGGAGGTGAGAGTGAGGTGAGACTAGCTGGGCTAGGTGTGTGGAGGTGAGAGTGAGGTGAGACTAGCTGGGCTAGGTGTGTGGAGGTGAGAGTGAGGTGAGACTAGCTGGGCTAGGAGTGTGGAGGTGTGAGTGAGGTGTGACTAGCTGGGCTAGGAGTGTGGAGGTGTGAGTGAGGTGTGACTAGCTGGGCTAGGTGTATGGAGGTGTGAGTGAGGTGTGACTAGCTGGGCTAGGTGTGTGGAGGTGACAGTGAGGTGTGACTAGCTGGGCTAGGTGTGTGGAGGTGTGAGTGAGGTGTGACTATCTGGACTACGAGTGTGGAGGTGTGAGTGAGGTGTGACTAGCTGGACTACGAGTGTGGAGGTGAGTGAGGTGTGACTAGCTGGACTACGAGTGTGAAGGTGTGAGTGAGGTGTGACTAGCTGGGCTAGGAGTGTCGAGGTGTGAGTGAGGTGTGACTATCTGGACTACTGGACTACGAGTGTGAAGGTGTGAGTGAGGTGTGACTAGCTGGGCTAGGAGTGTGGAGGTGAGAGTGAGGTGTGACTAGCTGGGCTAGGAGTGTGGAGGTGAGAGTGAGGTGTGACTAGCTGGCCTAGGTGTGTGGAGCTGAGAGTGAGGAGTGACTAGCTGGACTAGAAGTCTGGAGGTGTGACTGAGGTGTGACTAGCTGGGCTAGGAGTGTGGAGGTGTGAGTGAGGTGTCACTAGCTGGGCTAGGAGTGTGGAGGTGTGAGTGAGGTGTGACTAGCCGGACAACGAGTGTGGAGGTGTGAGTGAGGTGTGACTAGCTGGGCTAGGAGTGTGGAGGTGTGAGTGAGGTGTGACTAGCTGGGCTAGGAGTGTGGAGGTTAGAGTGAGGTGTCACTAGCTGGGCTAGGAGTGTGGAGGTGTGAGTGAGGTGTGACTAGCCGGACAACGAGTGTGGAGGTGTGAGTGAGGTGTGACTAGCCGGACAACGAGTGTGGAGGTGTGAGTGAGGTGTGACTAGCTGGGCTAGGTGTGTGGAGGTGTGAGTGAGGTGTGACTAGCCGGACTACGAGTGTGGAGGTGTGAGTGAGGTGTGAATAGCTGGGCTAGGAGTGTGGAGGTGAGAGTGAGGTGTGAATAGCTGGGCTAGGTGTGTGGAGGTGTGAGTGAGATATGACTAGCTGGGCTAGGTGTGTGGAGGTGAGAGTGAGGTGTGACTAGCTGGACTAGGTGTGTGGAGGTGAGAGTGAGGTGTAACTAGCTGGGCTGTGAGTGTGGAGGTGTGAGTGAGGTTTGACTAGCTGGGCTAGGTGTGTGGTGGTGAGAGTGAGGTGTGACTAGCTGGGCTAGGAGTGTGGATGTGTGAGTGAGGTGTGACTAGCTGGGCTCCGAGTGTTGAGGTGATAGTGAGGTGTGACTAGCTGTGCTAGGTGTGGAGGTGTGAGTGAGGTGTGACTAGCTGGACTAGGAGTGTGGAGGTGAGGTGTGACTAGCTGGGCTAGGAGTCTGGAGGTGTGAGTGAGGTGTGACTAGCTGGGCTAGGAGTGTGGAGGTGTGAGTGAGGTGTGACTAGCTGGGCTAGGTGTGTGGAGGTGAGAGTGAGGTGTGACTAGCTGGGCTAGGTGTGTGGAGGTGAGAGTGAGGTGTGACTAGCTGGCCTAGGTGTGTGGAGCTGAGAGTGAGGAGTGACTAGCTGGACTCGGAGTCTGGAGGTGTGAGTGAGGTGTGACTAGCTGGGCTAGGTGTGTGGAGGTGTGAGTGAGGTGTCACTAGCTGGGCTAGGAGTGTGGAGGTGTGAGTGAGGTGTGACTAGCCGGACAACGAGTGTGGAGGTGTGAGTGAGGTGTGACTAGCTGGGCTAGGAGTGTGGAGGTGTGAGTGAGGTGTGACTAGCTGGGCTAGGTGTGTGGAGGTGTGAGTGAGGTGTGACTAGCCGGACTACGAGTGTGGAGGTGTGAGTGAGGTGTGACTAGCTGGGCTAGGAGTGTGGAGGTGAGAGTGAGGTGTGAATAGCTGGGCTAGGTGTGTGGAGGTGTGAGTGAGGTGTGACTAGCTGCGCTAGGTGTGTGGAGGTGAGAGTGAGGTGTGACTAGCTGGGCTAGGTGTGTGGAGGTGAGAGTGATGTGTAACTAGCTGGGCTGGGAGTGTGGAGGTGTGAGTGAGGTTTGACTAGCTGGACTAGGTGTGTGGTGGTTAGAGTGAGGTGTGACTAGTTGGGCTAGGAGTGTGGATGTGTGAGTGAGGTGTGACTAGCTGGACTAGGAGTGTGGAGGTGAGGTGTGACTAGCTGTGCTAGGTGTGTGGAGGTGTGAGTGAGGTGTGAGTAGCTGGGCTAGGTGTGTGGAGCTGAGAGTGAGGAGTGACTAGCTGGGCTAGGAGTCTGGAGGTGTGAGTGAGGTGTGACTAGCTGGACTAGGAGTGTGGAGGTGAGGTGTGACTAGCTGGGCTAGGAGTGTGGAGGTGTGAGTGAGGTGTGACTAGCTGGGCTAGGAGTGTGGAGGTGTGAGTGAAGTGTGACTAGCTGGACTACGAGTGTGGAGGTGAGTGAGGTGTGACTAGCTGGGCTACGAGTGTTGAGGTGAGAGTGAGGTGTGACTAGCTGGGCTAGGTGTGTGGAGCTGTGAGTGAGGTGTGACTAGCTGGGCTAGGTGTGTGGAGGTGTGAGTGAGGTGTGACTAGCTGGGCTAGGTGTGTGGAGGTGTGTGTGAGGTGTGACTAGCTGGGCTAGGTGTGTGGAGGTGACAGTGAGGTGTGACTAGCTGGACTACGAGTGTGGAGGTGTGAGTGAGGTGTGACTAGCTGGACTAGGTGTGT